CAACGAAACGACTCGGGATGAACAACAGATCGGTCCCTGGGAATGGGCTCGGATCTCTGGGGGTGGCGTCCCGAGCGTCAAGAGACGACACGGGACACAGAAAGCAGCCCCGCGGGAATGGGTCTGGACCTCCGGGGCCCGCGCCTCTCCTCAGGGGCAGCTTCTTGCTTCCGCCGCGCCTCCCGCCTGTCTTCCCCCGGCGGAGGCGGCCTCGCGTTCTCTCCGCCGCCTTCCGCCGACCTTCTGACGTGGGAGAGGCGGCAGCTCCTTCGAGCTTCGGGGGCAAGGCCCTTCCTGGAGCGGCCTGTGTCAAAGGCAGGGGCCTTCTGAGAAGGCAGGGGGGCCGTCCGAGAAGGCGGGGGGGGCCGTCCCAGAAGGCAGGAGGCCTCTTAGAATTCGAAAGGGCCCGGGGGCTTCTGAGAGCCCATCTCGGGAGCTGGGAAGGCTGCCAAGATCAGGTCGGGCACGTCCTCTGATAGGCGGATGTTGGACGAAACACAAAGCATCCGGAAAAGATCAGCGGAAACAGGCCAAGATAATCCAAGCATCGTCCCATGACGATCTTTTGACTATCTTTGAATCGTCCTCCTGCAGAGGGACGCGCCCGACTCGGTGCTAAGAAGGCCCTGCCCTCTCAGAAGTCCCCCTTGCTTCCTGAAAAAAGGGCGGCCCGGGAGGGTGCCCGTCGTCCTGCGGCAGCTGGGCTATAGGTCGGGCACGTCCTCCTACAGGGGGGATGTTGGCCGACATTTCAAACAAATGCGCAACACGAATTTTAAACATTGCCAATCATAGTGAAAACCAAATGTTTAAAACTTGCCAAAGCAAAGACAAATAATCATAATAGTAAAAATGTAAGAACATGACGAGTGCGACGTCCACGACGTCGACGTCGACGACGACGACGACGACGACTCGAGGACAGAATTTAACACGCCACTCTCGTGTTAAATTTTGTCCTTCTGGTCTTTGTGCCGACGACGACGACAACGATGACGACGAGGGCGACGACGAAGCGTGCGACGTCGACGACGACGACGACGACGACGATGACGATCACAGACGACGAAACGAAATTAACGCGCCACTCTCGTGTTAAATTCTGTCCTTCGGGTCCTTGTGCCGACGACAACGACAAGGACGACGCGTCGTCGTCGCGACGACGGGTGCGACGACGACGACGACGAAGACGACGGACGACGACGACGACGACGACAGGAGGACAGAATTTAACACGCCACTCTTGTGTTAAATTCTGTCCTCGGGGTCTTTGTGCCGACGACGCGGACGACGACGACAACACGAGGACAGAATTTAACACGCCACTCTCGTGTTAAATTCTATCCTGGGGGTCCTCGTGCCGACGCCGACGACGACGACGACGCCGACACGAGGACAGAATTTAACACGCCACTCTCGTGTTAAATTCTGTCCTGGAGGCCCCGGTGCCGACGGCAACGACAAGGACGACGACAACGACGACGGGTGCGACGTCGACGACGTCGACGTCGACGCCGACGCCGACGACGACACGATGACAGACTTTAACACGCCACTCTGGTGTTCAATTCTGTCCTTGAGGTCCTTGTGCCGACGACGACGACGATAACGGCAAGGGCGACGACGAAGAGTGCGACGTCGACGTCGACGACGACGACGGACGACGACACGAGGACAGGATTTAACACGCCACTCTCGTGTTAAATTCTGTCCTTGGGGTCCTTGTGCCGACGCCAAGGCCAAGGACGACGACGACGGGTGCGACGACGACGACGACGACGTCGACGACGGACGACGACAACGACGACACGAGGACAGAATGTAACACGCCACTCTCGTGTGAAATCCTGTCCTTGGGGTCCTTGTGCCGACGACAACAACGACGACGACGGGTGCGACGGCGACGACGGACAATGACGCCGACACGAGGACAGGATTCAACACGCCACTCTCGTTTCAAATTCTGTCCTTGGGATGCTCGTGTCGACGACGACGCCTAGGACGACGACGACGACGAGTGCGACAACGACGACGACGACGACGGCAACGACGGACGACGACGACAACGACGACGACGACGACGATGCCGTCGCACCTCCTGCGACCCCAGGCACTCACAAATGTCATGAACTGTCTGCCCCCAGTGTTGTAGTCCCCTGAAACGAGAGCTGCTCCCGAAAACCTCCTCCCGCATCATCCGTGCCTGTTTCTTCACCCCTCCCTGACAGCTTTCACTGGTCCTCCCCCACGTGTTCTTCGTCCCTGCCTGCTCCATCCATTAACTCCTGCTCCCCCTTCTATACCTTTCCATTTCTCCTCCGCATCTTCATGCTCCTCTTGCTCCTCCTTCCACCTGTTCCTCCTCGTTCATTCCTCCGTCTCCTCCTCCCCTCCGCCCTCTCCCCCCCGTTTCCCTCGAGAGCCGATGCCTCCAGGGTCGGCGGCACAGGCCGTAAGGTCAGCGCAATAGTAAAAATGTAAGAACATGATCAAAAAGTCAAATAAAAAAAACGTCCCCGTACAAATCTTGACTTTTTCGGAATATTCCTCCAGTAGAGGGACAGGCCCGACTTGACAGTCGTGTTCCCTCATGACGGGCACACGCGGCCAACGAAAAGGTGTATGTTCGAGCTGATCCAGTCACGTGGCATTAGCGGGCGTCCATTCGAAGAGAAACTGGCACGCAAGGAGGAAGAGGACAGAGGAGGAGGGGGGAGGAGGAGAGGGAGGAGGAGGGGGAAGGCGAGGAAGGGGAAGGATCAGGAGGAGGGCGAGGAAGACGAGAAGGAGGAAGAAGCGGACGCGGAGGAGGAGGAGGAGGAAACCACTGCGTGCCAATCAGTGGCGGGCAGTGGCACGTGTGCCGGCCCCGCCAAGGCGGCCAGTCTCGACACGAGGACCAAGAAGCACGAGCCCAACATCGCCAAGATGAAGAGCTACGGGATCTTCACCCACGTTCGACAAGAACCTGGAGACCGCGGCGACGCGTGGCGGCGCGAGGCATGTTCTGCCAAAGCTGGGGGTAGCATCAAGACCAGGGGCCTGATGCTGCCCGCCGAGACCAACTTCAACCCCTCCACCCTGAACGCCGACGCCCCAGAGTTCGTGCCAAACCTGCGCACGAACATACCCGCGGCCTGGGCGCAGACCCCCCCTAGGCCGTCGGAAAGCAGTCTGCGGAGTGACTGGCACCCCGGACGCCCCACGGCGCGCCAGAGGGCTGCACATGTGCCGCGGCCAGCCTGGCCGCGCCCACCGCCTGCATGGCGCGCTTCGCAGCCGCTGCCGTGCGCCAGGGCACCTGCGGAAGCAGCTCTGGCAACCGCCGCCGGTCCTTTTGAGCAAGGACCGACCGTCCCGGCATTCCCATAGCCCTACCACGAAGTTGTCGCAGAACCCACAGATGTCCGAACATCAAAACGATGCCTTTAGAACACACCAAGCCGACGTGCTAAAACAAGACAGTCTAAACGTGCTAAAGCCGACGTGTTAAAACAAAGCCGACGTGCTAACACGTGCTAAAACAGCCAACCAGAGATGGTCTCACGACATGTCGTGCAGACCACAATCGGGTCGGGCGAAAGGGGGGGATAGCAAAGGGGGGGGGGAAAAATCAGCTCACGCAGCTGATTTTCCCGGCGCCCCCCAGCCCCTCGGTGAGGCCGAAACCAGCTGCATGCAGCAAATTTCGTACCCCCCCCCCTTTCCCAATCCCCCCCTTTCGCCCGGCCCGACACAAAAGATCATCGAAACGCTCCTCAATCGCCGCTGCTCGATCCTTTCCTGTGGCCAATCAGCAGATCATCGAAACTCCTCAGTGGCCCTGTGCGCAAGCCAGGACGCGTCGCCGCTGCTCGATCCTTTCCTGTGGCCATGGCGCGCGGCCGAGGGCACGGGGCGTGGAGAGGGACTGCCTCGAGCAGAACCTGCCGACGCCGGCCCTCGACTCCCGCGCCAAGAGAAGGAGGAGGAGGAGGAGGAGGAGGAGGAGGAGGAGGAGGAGGAGGAGGCGGAGGCGGAGGCGGATGCGGAGGCGGAGGAGGAGGCGGAGGAGGAGGAAGTGCTCGTCGACCACGACCGCGACCAGCAGTGCAACAAGCATGAAGGGGCCCACAAGCACACAAAGAAATACACACAAAAAAAAACTGGACTCCCCATACTTTTCCATATGTTCTGGGCTTTTGTCTTCACCCCCCCTTCCCATAGGTTCCCGTATTTTCCTGGGAGTCGACGATTAATTGTGTCTGTGTGTTTATTATTTCCCTCCTGAAAGCAGGGCTTCCTCACCCTCCCGCCCTTCCTCCCTGCCGCCACGTGCTACCAGGAGCACGACTGGGATAGACCCTCGCAACACCATCGTCAGAAGCACGACGGACTCCGACGGCACCAGCGCGAGCGGCACGACGGACTCCAGCATCACCAAGGTGAGCTGCTTTATGGACTCCAGCAGTCCGATCGTCAGCAGCATATAGCGGACTTCAGCAACATCATGGTGAGCAACACGAAGAACCCCAGCAGCACGACCGCGAGCAACAGGACGGAATCCAGCAGCACCACCGTAAGCAGCAGAACGGACTCCAACTCCACCATCATGATCACCACGACGGATTCCAGCAGCATGACCGTCAGCAGCATGGCGGACTTCAGTGGCATCATCGCGAGCAGCACCATTGACCCCAGCAGCACAATCGCGAGCAGCATGACAGAATCCAGCAACAACACCCTGGGCAACACGACGAACTCCAGCCGCGCGTCCGTGAACAGCACAACGAACCCCAGCAACCCCAACGTGAGCAGCATGACGGACTCCAGCCTCACGACCGCCAGCAGCGTCGAGGACTTCAGCAGCACCATCGTGAGTATCATCGCGGACTCCAGCAGCAGCACCAGGAGCAGCACGACGGACTCTAGCAGCACCATCGTGAGCAGCACGACAGAGCCCAGCAGCCCCTCAGTGAGCATCACGATGGATTCCAGCAGCGTCACCGTGGACTCAAGCATCAGCACCCGGAGTACCACGAGGGACTCCAGCAGCACGACTGCGAGCAACAGGACGGAATCCAACTGTGACTACCTACCATACCACCCAACCCAACCCGAAGACCCGAATTTGATCCCAATTTCGGATTGGGGGGCGGGTACGGGTTCCATGTGCTTTTTTTAATAGTCCCCGACCCCCCCCCAACTGGAAATGGAGGGCAAATTGAGGCCTTCGGATTGGGTTGGGGTCGTTTGGTGGGTGGTGAAACTGCACCAGCGTGAGCAGCGTGACAGGCGCCACCAGCACCATCGTGAACAGTACTACGGACCACAGCGGTACGTCCGTAGGCTATGGTGGGCTCCAGCAGCAGCAGCAGCGTGAGCGGCACGACGGATTCCAGCAGCAAGATCGCGAGCAGCATGACGGACTCCAGCAGCACCATCGTGAGCGGCACGACGGACTCCAGCATCACAACCGTCAGCAGCATTGCGGACTTCAGCGGCATCATCGCAAGCAGCACCATGGACCCGAGCTGCAAGACAGCGAGCAGCAGGACAGACTCCAGCAACACCATCGTGAGCAACACGACGAACCCCAGCACCTCGTCCGTGAGCAGCACGGCGGACCCCAACCACACCATTTTGAGCAGCATTACGGACTCCAGCAGCACGACAGCCAGCAGCGTCGAGGACTTCAGCAACACCATCGTGAGCAGCAGGACGGAATGCAGCAGCACGACCGCGGGCAGCAGGACGGATTCAAAGACCACCATCGTGAGCAACACGACAGACCCCAGCATCGCGTCCGTGAGCAGCACGACTGACTCCAGCAACGCCACCGTGGACTCAAGCATCAGCATCCGGAGCACCACGAGGGACTCCAGCAGCATGACCGCGAGCGACAGGACGGAAGCCCAGCAACGCATCGTGAGCAACATGACGGGCGGCAACAACACAACCGTGATCAACAGCATGACAGACTCCAGCGGCAGCAGCGTGAACGGACTCCAGCAGCACCAACGTGAGCAGCACGACGGACCCTTGCACTACGACTGTGAGCAGCACGACGGACTTCAGCGATACCATAGCGAGCAGCAGCAGTACGAACTCCAGCAGCCCGACCGTCAGCAGCATAGCGGACTTCAGCAGCACTATCGCGAGCAGCAATACGACATCCAGTAGCACGACCGTAAGCAACAGGAGGACTCCAGCAATACCATCATGAGCAGCACGATGGACCCCAGCAGCGCGTCCGTGGACAGCACGGACTTCAACGACACGATCGAAAGTAACAGAAGGACTCCAGCAACAGCACCGGGAGCAACACGACGGACTCAAGCGACACGACCGTGAGTAGCAAGACGGACTCCAGCAATCGATCAATAACGCCTTGTCTGCACGACACGTCGGCTGAAGAAATGCCGCTGGCCGGAGGCGCATGTCCAGACCAGGGCACAGGAAAGCGAGGACAGTGCAGGAGAAAGCGTGCCAGCTGGCGGCAGTCTTCCACATGCGCGGGCAGCAGCGCGCAGGACCGAGAAACTGTGGCACGTCGTTCTCCCGAGGGGAAAGGGGGCAGGGAGCGGGAGGAGAGGCGGGGGAGGAGGAAGGCGAGGACGCGGAGGGGGGAGGACCCTGCTCGCCGCAGGGGAGCGTGCTCCGACCACGGAGCGCACCGTGGCGGCCGAGAGATCGGCCTCCCCGCCTCGGTGCCGGTGGGGCCGGAGGGCTCTCGGCGGTGCCTGCGCTAGAAATCGTGCGTCTGAGAAGCGAATCAGGCGTGGCCGCCACCCTGCCAGAATTGTCGGATGCAAAAACCAAAAAAGCCCCTGCCCTGGGTTACAAGTGCGTGGGCCGCAAACCTCCCGGGAGCCCCCAGAGGCCAGAGAGCCGCCAGGACGCAGCGCGACACGCGCGATATGCAGGCTTTACCCTGTCAGCCCACAGAAGGTTCAGTGGTTCAGCGCACAACGCCTCGTAAACGAGGGCAGGGGCGCTTTTGCTACGCCCTTGACGAAAGGCAGCAGCTGCCGGAATAGACTCGTTCGGCCGACACCACCATGCCTCCGCACCACGCCACGCCGACGCCAGCACCTCCGGGGGACACCGACGCCCACCCCAGCGAAGCCCCGCACCCGGAGTACGGGTGCGTCGACCAGGAAACCACCTCGGGTCTCTCGGCCCTCGGGGGGCCGGCGGTGAGGGGGGCGGAGGTGGTGAGATTTTTTTGTTAGGGGGGGGCGCAGGGGGAAGCGGCCCAGCGCGCGCCCAAGGGGCAAACCCCCGTGTGCGGAAGGCCCAACTTAACTGTTGTTTCCCTTTTCGTTCCCCGTGCCCCCGTCCTTTCCCCCTCTCTTCCCCTCCCAGAGGCCTCCTAGATGGGGTCGGAGGAGCTGGGGTCGGAGGATCGCGCCGCATGCCCAATGCATCGCCGATGCATGGTCGATGCATCGGCGACGTCGGCGATACACTGGCGCCGTCGGCGTGGAGCCGATCGGGCTCCGCATCGACCATGCACCGCCGCCGCCGATGCATCGGCGATGCGGCGCGATCCCCCGACCCCATCTAATTACTCCGACCCCATCTGGCAGGCCTAGTCCCTTGCCGAAGCTGGAACCACAAGGTAGCCCCTGAGGTCGTTCCAGCTTCCGTCGTGAAAAGTTCCCGCAGCGGTCTCTGCGAACTCCCAGCGTGCTCCGGCAGGCTTGTCTCTGAGTGTTTCCCACCACGCGTGCCCGAAGCTCTCTATGGGGTCCTGCAGAACAGGTCCTGCCAGATCCTTCGCGAGCTCCCCGCCCTCTCCCCCTCTCTTCGCCTTCCCCCCCCCCTGTTTTTCCCTGGGGGGGGGGGGGGGGGGCTTCGTTGGCCCTGCCGTGCTTGCGGGGGCCCGCGCTCCTCCGCCCTCTCCCGCCTCCTCTCCTCGTGCGCGCGTCGGGGTGCGTGCGCCCGGGCGCCCACTGCGTCCTCCTCTCTCGGGCCCCTCGCTGTTGCGCCTCGCCCCCCTTCCCTCGTGTCTTGCGCAGGGACCGACCGTCCCGGTATTCCTATAGTCCTACCGCGAAATGTTCTGAGAACCCAAACATGTTCAGAGAAGAAAAACAATGTTCTTAGAACATAAACCCGATGTGATAAAACAAGACAGACTCCGCCAGAAAGATTCTAATAACATTCCGTGGAGACCACAAAAGGTTCTTAGAACATTCTTTGGTAGAGCAAGGCGAGCCAGAACGCTCCGCCACTGCTTGAGCGTCTCGCCGGCCCCGCCCGCCCGATCTCCACTCTCGGAACTGGCGCCTCGGCGGGGTCTCCGAGATGGACGCCCGGCGCGCCAGGCGCTGCCGCCAGGTGGGGGCAATGTCTGCGTCTGAAGACACTGCAGGAGGAGGGCAGGGAGGAGGGGGAGGGGAGGGTGAGGGGGATGAGGAGGAGGAGGAGAAGCAGGAGGAGGAGAAGCAGGAGGAGGAGAAGGAGGAGGAGGGGGAGGAGGGGGAGGAGGAGGAGGAGGAGGAGGAGGAGGAGGAGGAGGAGGAGGAGGAGGAGGGGGAGGAGGAGGAGGAGGAGGAGGAGGGGAGGAGGAGGAGGAGGAGGAGGAGGATGAGGAGGAGGAGAAGGAGGAGGAGGAGGAGGAGGGGGAAAAAGAGGAGTAGCAGAAGGAGGAAAACGAAGGACCAGGGGGAAGGAAGGGGAGGGGCAAAGGCTGGTCGTCCTGCAGCAACTGGACCCACGCCTTGCGGAAAGGCTCCCAGCCCTGGGCACCTCGGCGGGGTCTCTGAGACGGAGGTGGGCTTTGGGAAGGCGATGGACAGGCGGCGCAATATGATCTCACAAGCTGCGAACGTACGTCGAGACCACGCGACCCTCCGCCGGCCAAAGCGCACAGAGCAGCCAGCAGTGCCCCCCCCCCCCTCGGATGCACAAGGGCATCCAACAAGCACGAAGAACATCAAGATACCCTCCTCGAACCGACATGGACCCAATGCCTCGGTACGCGGTCGCACGGGCACGCTCCGCACGGGGCATCCGCACAGCAGCGCCGCGTGCCCGCGCGGTCGCGGGCCTGAGGGCCTCGCCCGCGAGGGCGCGGGTACGGCCACGGATAGCTCTGGCCTCTGCACACGATGCCTGGCGGGGGCAGGCGGGAGGGCAATCCGAGTTCAGCCTTCCCGAACTTAAACAACTTGCGGCGAACATCCTGGGAAAGCCACCCTCAGGTTGGGGTAATGTCAGAGGTTCCCTCGGTGCCGTCTATTTAAGTTTACCAAGGGCTGGCTGGTCATGGACCAGTCCCATGGAGTTCATGAGCAGGGAAGGCGAGGTCTACCCGCTCACGACCAGCTCGCCTGCTCTCATTCGTCGGATGCTCGAGGCGTCGTGGCAGGAGCAGCAGGCCGAGGCCGTGGCAGTAAAGATTGGAGTGCCTGCAGTTGACTTGTCTCACGCTACAGCAGCTCTCGCTGATAGTCGACTTAGTAAAGAAGATCGTAGCCTCCTCGTGTCGTGCCTGACCCAATCGATTTGGACCAAATGTAGGTTCAAGGATGCGGGCTACGACACGGACACTACTTGTATATGTGGGACCCCTATCAGACCATATATTCCACAGGCTCCTGGAGTGCCCCAAATGTGCAGATCTTCGGGAAGAGTACCTTGCTGAAGGCGATCTTGAAGCCCTGAGAGACCCCCAGGCCTTTGCTATGTGTGCTGGTTTTCCTGAGCCTCCGCCCTTTTATGGTCCCGGGGCCCATCGGTCTTGGCCCGGCTGAGGCCCAGGTTTGGTCCCGAAACAGCCTTTCGCCTTCGGAAGCTTTTGTCGGCGAGGTTCACGTCGACGGTAGCGTGGCCAAGGATGGCCACCAATGGTTTCATGCCCCAGGATGGGCAACGGTCAAATGTGATGCCCACGGAGAGGTAGAGGTCCACCTCTGTGGGCCAGTAGGCAGTGCCCTCCGCCCACGTCTCCTGCGGCGGAGTTTCTAGCGCATCTAGCTTCCAGCCAGTTCAGAGGAGTGACTAAGATTCATTCTGATTTCAACGGAGTGACAAGTTTCCACAATTCGGGCCTGCCTGCTAATAGGAAGAATCTGTATGACGGGCTTGGCGCTATGGCCAGGCTAGGAGAAGCCAGTTGTGCACGGGGTCTTGAAGTGGCTAAAATTAAAGCCCATCAAACTTTAGATTCCCTGGACCGCTACTCTGATGAGTGGCGGAACGCACCGGGAAGTGACGCCGCTGACAGAATTGCCAAATTAGCTGCTTCGCGCCTGCCCCAGCCCTCGGAAGGAGAGAGAGATGCCCAGCAGCAGCTCGGCAAGGAATTCAAAGGCTTCCTTCGGTATGTGCCGAAGGCTCTTTCGCCGTGGCCCTCGATAGCCCCGAGGGTTGGGGGAAGAGGCCTCGAGGGCCCTGTGAAGGCAACCAACCCGCTTGTAGGTGCTCGCTCGATCGCGGCAGTGTGGCAAAGCGGAGCGAACTCTGGGGGGTCTAGTTCGGGCCCTGGAGCTGCGGCGGCTCCTTCCCCTCCCCGTCCCCACCGTGTTGCCCGCGCACGAGCCCGAGTCGGGCATGTGTCGACGTGGCAGAAAACACGTTGGCTCTGCTGTCTCTGCAACTCGCGATGCACGTCAGATAATGTAACACGTTCCAGGGCCAAGGAGTCGTGCCCAGGTAATGCTGCTCGTCTGGCCAAGCTTACAGAGCAGCCGAATGGTCACAAGCTTTTAGTTTTCGACAGAATTGAAGATGAGAGTTAGTTTCATTGTTGCATGTCAGTTGTGTGGCAGTTATTCAGAATATACCGTCATGAGCATCCAGAAGGGTTGTTTCAAGCGATTCACTTCTAACTGTCAGAAGGCGCCTACGCGTGCCTTGCAGAGGGGAGACACCCAAGGGCCTCTAAGACGAGCCCCATTGTCTTCAAGCCTCCGATCCCGATTGATGCGGTTGCCGTCCAGGCAGCCCAGGCGCTTGAGTCGCCCTGAGCGAAGTCGAACCCCTTCCGAAGCCGTGCGATGGTCCTCCTCTCCTCCTCCTCCTCCTCCTCCTCCTCCTCCTCCTCCTCCTCCTCCTCCTCCTCCTCCCTGCCACTCCTCCCTCCCCCTTCTCATTCTCCCCCTCCTCCCTCCCACTCCCCCTCACCATCTTCCTCCTCTTCCTGCTCCTCCTCATCCCAGTCCTCCTCTTCCTCCTCCTCCTCCTTCTCGTCCTCTACCTCTTCCTCCTCCTCCTCCTCCTCCTCCTCCTCCTCCTCCTCCTCCTCCCCCTCCTCCTCCTCGCCATCCTTCGTTCTCTCCAGCTTCTCCCCACTCTCTCCCTCCTCCTCCTCCTCCTCCTCCTCCTCCTCCTCCTCCTCCTCCTCCTCCTCCTCGTTGGATTTCTATTCGTCATCCTCCCTCTCCTCCTCCCCGGCGGCTCCCGAGCCCGGCGCGGGCTTGCAGCAGCTCCTCGCGCAGCTGCAGGGCCTCCTCCCAGAGGGGGGGGGGGTGGCAGAGGGGGCCCCGACGCCCTCGAGCTGTCAGAAGCCTCCGAGCATGGGTTGACCGACACCGCCGACGACGCCGCCGCCGACGACGACGACGAAGACGAAGACGACGACGACGACGACGACGACGACGACGACGACGACGACGACGACGACGACGACGACGGCGAACGACGACGGCGAACGACGGACGACGGACGACGGACGACGGACGACGGGCTGCCCGCGCTCCCCGGACCGAGCTCGGCAACCGAGGCGCCGCCCCGACGGGAGATGCCCCCAGGGGTGGGGCTGGCATCCTCGCCCGTGGAGGCGCCGTGAACGAGAGACAGTGCCCGGGGACGTACCCAACCTAGGAAGGCACCAAGTATACACCAACACCGACCCTGGCCAGGATCACCCTGGGCCCAGGATCGGTGTATACGCCCTCCTGCCTTGCGCAAGAAGGCATCTACACCAATCCTGGGCCCAGGGTGATCCTGGGCCAGGATCGGTGTTGGTGTATAGTTGGTGCCCTCCGACAACCCTCTCTAAACTGTGTGCGTCGGCGGCTAGGCAAGGGTCGTCGGCGCCGGCGGAAGGAGCTGACGAAGCGGGGGGACGGATCACTTCCCTGGGTGAGCTGACCCTCTCTAAGCATGAGACGATTATACTCAGGATCGCTCAAAGCAAACGAACATGCTGAACGACCCGCAATGCGCAAATCCCAGCCCGAAGGGGGGCCGCAAAGTCTCGACAACGTCCGTGTGACGTCCCATTCCGCTGGGCCTCCTAGGAGCCTACGAAAGTGGTGACGGTTGCGCAGTTCGCAGCCCCCAAAGGGGGCCGCAAAGTCTCGACAGCGTCCGCGTGACAGCCCTCTCCGCTGGGTTTCCCAGGAGCCCTCGAAAATGGCGACAATTGCGCAGTTCGCAGCACCCCAGGGAACCGTTTACAGCTTCACTCCGCTGGACATCCCAAGAGCCCACGAAAGTGGCGACGGTTGCGCAGTTCGCAGCCCACCCACGAACCCGCGGGGTCTCCTACAACTCCACTCCGCTGGATTTCCCAAGAACCCACGAAGGTGGCGACGGTTGCGCAGTTCGCAGCGCCTCCAGAAGTCGCGAGGTCTCAACGCAGTCCGTTTACCACTTCGCTCTGCTGGACCTCCAAGGAGCCCACGACAGTGGCGACAATTGCGCAGTTCGCAGCCCCCCAAGGAACTGCGAGGTCTCAACGCGGTCTGTTTACAACTCCACTCCGCTGAGCCTCCCAGGACCACACGAAAATGGCGTCGGTTGCGCAGTTCGCAGCCAGCCGAGGGACGCGCGAAGTCTCAACGCGATCCGTTTACGACTCCACTCCGCTGGGCCTCCCAAGAGCCCACGAAAGTGGCGACGGCCGCAACCCCTCTAGGAAATCGCGAAGTCTCAACGCGGTCCGTTTGAACACTTCGCTCCGCTGGATCGGACCTCCCTGGAGCCCACACAAGTGGCTACAAGTGTGTAGTTCGCAGCACCCCCAAGAACCCGCGAGGTCTCGACGGGGTCCGTTTAGAGCTCCACTGCGCTGGACCTCCCAGGAATACACGAAAATGGAGACAATTGCGTAATCGGCAGCCCCCTCAAAGGCCCGCGAAGTCTCAACACAATCCGTTTGCAAGTACTCTCAGCTGGACCCCCCCCCCGAGCACACAGCGGTAGCAACAATTGCGCAATTCGCAGCCCCCCAAGGACCCGCGAGGTCTCAACACGATATGTTTACAGCTCCACTCCGCTGGACCTCCCAGGAGCCCACGAAATGGCGACGATTGGGCAGTTCGCAGCCCATCCAAGGACCCGCGAGGTCTCAACACGATCCGTTTACAACTCCACTCCGCTGGACCTCCAAGGAGCCCACGAAAGTGGCGACAATCGAGCAACTCGCAACCACCCCAAGGACCCACGAGAACTCAACGCGGTTTGTTTACGACTCCACTCCGCTGGATTTCCCAAGGACCCACGGAGGTGGCGACAATTGCGCACGTCGCAATCCACCCCAAGGACCCGCGAGGCATCAACGCGATCCGCTTACAGCTCCACTCCGCTGGACCCTCCAGGAGCCCACGGAAGTGGCGACAACTGCGCAAGTCGCAGACCCCACCCCCCCCGGGACCCGCGAGGCGAAGGCGAGGGGGGGGGCAGCAGGCGAGAGGCAGGAGGAGGACGAGGAGGAAGGAGAGAGGAGAGAAGAGGAGAGGACGGCGCGACCACGGCGCTCTGTTCGAAACGAGCACTGGACAACTGGCGTTTGGAATAAAGCATGAGGCAGGAGGGGGAAGAAGGAGACAGGACGAGGAGGAGGAAGAGAGAAGGGATTGGCGCTGGGCCCCCGTTTTCTCTCAACAACATGCCTGCAAGGGTCCTGTAAATGCCTTGCGAGCGCCACTTCCTCCAAATCCGAAATCCATAGGCCGTGGTCTCCCGAATGGTCTCCCGTGCTGCCCCCCCGCACGATCTCCCACATGGTTTCTCCTATGGTCTCCCGCAGCGTCTCCTGTTTTCTCCCGAACGTTCTCCCTATATATGGTACACTGCCTATGTGCATACATATGCATGTGTATGTGTAAATCTGTGTATATATCGTGTACTGCCTCCCACATGGTTTTGCCAATGGTCTCCTGTATGGTCTTCCCCATGGTCGCCATTCCTGTCTCTTGCATGGTCTCCCATCTGGCTTCCCGTCCGCACGGTGTGGCCTCCCGGACGGCTTCCCGCATGGTGCCCCGCATGGAGCGACGCACGATCTCCCGCATGGTCTTCAGTTTTTGTGGGGCTCGCAGCACTGCCATGTCTGAGGCCATTCAGTCTTCAGTATTGCAACGCTCGCACTGATGCTATGCATTGTATCCTTCACCCCGTGCTGTCTATAGGTGCTCCTCTTCGATATGCCAAGGCGCTGAGTGGGGTCTTGTGCCGCCAAGGGTGTAATCTGTCCTTTGCCATGACGGCTCCCTGACAAAACCCTCATCTACGGTCGGATCAAGGCCAGAAAAACAACCTTCGAGAACATGGGACCCTCCGCCGGCCAAAATATACAGAGCCTCCAAGGGCACGATCCCCAGCATGCACAAGAGCAACCATCAAACACGAAGAGCATCAGGGCACCCTCCCCCAGCCGACCTCGATCTTATACCTCGGTCCGGCCGAAACAATCGAGCATATCCTGGTTCTGTGCGTGGTTGCTATTTGGCTTCTCTGGTGACGTCCCAGCTGCCGTGCACGGGCGGCTGGGGCCGACTGAGGACAGTCGAATCGCAAGGCGTAGCACAGGCACGCCATTCATTCGGGTCGGGCGAAAGGGGGGGATAGCAAAGGGGGGGGTTGAGAATCAGCTCGCGTAGCTGATTTTCCCGGCGCCTCCCGGCGCCAGAGGCGGCCATGTATCGAGGAATGGGCCCCTCGGTGGGGCCGAAACCAGCTGCATGCAGCAAATTTCATAACCCCCCTTTCCCAATCCCCCCCTTTCGCCCGACCCGATTCATCGCGGGGACGAGGAGAAGGCAATGCTCTCTGCCATGCCAGACGGCGACAAGATCACAGACGAACTTTTCTCAAGAAAGGAGACCCTCCTCCTCCTCCTCCTCCTCCTCCTCCTCCTCCTCCTCCTCTTCCCCTCCTGTTGCGCCTCCGCTTCCTCCTCCTCCGTCGCCTCCTCCTCCTCCTCCTTCGTCTCCTCTTCTCAGTCCCCCGCCCCCTCCCACTCCTCCTCGTCCCCCTTCTAGACCAGGGCCCGAGAGACGTATATCGCTTCAGTGAGCGCAAACAGGTGTTGCGCGCACGGGGCTTCGGCTTTGGCGACAAGAGCGCAGACGCGAGGGGCTCCTCTGCCGGAAGCACAGGCGAGTTGACCTGGATGTCCCCGAGCCACCTGAGCTGGGACGCGGTGGAAGCAGCGCTCCCTCCTCCCGCCTCCTCCCTCCCTCCTCCTCCTTCTCCCTCCTCCTCCTCCCTCCTCCTCCTCCTCCCTCCTCCTCCTCCCTCCTCCTCCCTCCTCCTCCCTCCTCCTCCCTCCTCGGCGGATTCACCAGGGAAGCATCGCACATCAAAGCGCCAGGGCCAGGGGAAATCGACCCTCCTCGCTGCGAGGCTCTCTGGAGGCACCATCCATGGCTTGGACCCCTCCCTATGAACGTCGCCGCCAAGCCCTGCCAATAGGGGGCACCCAGTGGCCGCAGCCCCGCAAATACGTTGACGGGCGTGGCTGACGGCGTGGACATTGATCCGCAAATTGTTCGAAGGCGTACGCACCCGAACGTCACATACGGTTTTCAATTCAGCCCTGCCCTGGAGAGAAGAGAGCCGTTCCCAAAATCAACCAAACTCAAGACTTCCCATGCGGCTGCAGGACGGGAGGCGCCGCTCGAGCGCCAGCCCGCCAACGAGCACCCACCCTGGCACCATGCCCTCTCAATGCGCAATCACATGCACAAGCTCTCGTTCGCGATCCTCTCGCCCCTGCTCCCGATGAGCACGAAAAAGCATCCGCAGACCGAGCGCCTGGACGCACGGACGCTGATATAGATGTGCATGTTCGCCTGGCGCTGCTTCCGCTGCCCAAGACCAATATATATAAATAAATAAGGGCGAACTACTGCGAAACGCGAGCCGCTGCGCTCAACCGTGTTCATGATCGCATGCGTGGAGAATGCCGACGGATGACAAACATGCTTATGGAACAACCTCACACCTGCGCAGCAATCGTTTTTCGCAACGTTCGCGTCGATGGCTGGCATGACCGTAGCACTATCCCAGCGCAGTGTGCACCTCCCCCACACATACGCACACAAACACACACACACACATACACATACGTTTTGCGTCGGCGGCTGGGCAGAGGGTGACTGCTCCGGCGATCAGGCATCAGGGGTGCGCACGAGATGCACATTCGGCCGCAATGCATGCGGAAGGAGGAGGAGACCCCAGCGCGACGGGGAGACGGGAAGCCGGGCCCGCTCAGGCAAGTCACCGGCAACGGCGGGAGGAACCAGCGCGGCGCGGGGCAAGTGCTGCGCTGCGCGGCGCGGGGCAAGTGCGCGCTGGTTCCCCCCCAACGGCAAGTGCCGAGGGGGGGGGAGCCAGCGCGGCGCCGGGCAACAGCTGGGGGGGATGGCAGCCCAGCGGCGGCTGGGCAAAGCCAGCTGGGGGAGCAGCAACTGCGATGCGGATCCCGCACCAATTGGGGAGCCCGTTGACCAGGCGGACCAAAGGGTGGGTCGAAGCGCTGAGACCTGGGGGCCTACGAGGCGCGGCGGGAGGCGCGACGGGCGGAAGCAGGTGGGCGGGCGAGCAGAGCCCAGGGGAGAGGCGAGGCGCCGAGACATGGAGGCCTACGAGGCGCGGCGGCAGGCGCGGAGGGCGGAGCGCAGGCGGCGCGGGCGGCGAGAAGGCGGAGGGCAGAGGGCGAAGTGAGCCGAAAGGCGGGCGATCCTCGGCGGCGTCCGGGCACAGCCAGCAGGGGGAACGGCACAGGCGATGTGGTCACCACGCCACTGGGGGAGCAGGAAGGGCAGCCGGACCCATGAGAGGGGCGAAGCGCCGAGACACGGGGGCCTACGAGGCGCGGCGGGAGGCGAAAGGGCGGAGCGCCAGCAGGCTAAGTGCGCCGCACGGGACGCAGCAAGGGCAGGCCGACGTGTAGGCGACGGACAATGGCGAAGAGAAAGAGCCACGCCAATAAGCGGGGGCGGCGCGGGGCCGGGAGCGCCAGCGGAGAGTGGGCGGGCGCCGAGGCCAGAGGGCCTACGAGGCGCAGGGGCCGGAGGGCAGTGCAGGGCGCCGCAGGAGTGTGGCAGCGACCCGCCCACCAGAAGCGAGTGGATGGTCGAGAGGCCGGCCTGCAAGCCAGGCAGGGGGAGCGGGGGCCCTGGCCAGGGGCAGCCGGGCCGCCTGGCCGGCACGAGGCGCGGCAAGATAGCGGGGAGTGCCACAGGCAGGGCCTGGACGGAAGCTGCAGAAGGCCGGCGAGCCCCCGGCCAGAGCGAAGGGCTGCAGAGGGAGCGCAGGGCACCCCCCTCGGGGCGGG